TATACACGGTGTGTGTAAACAGTAGCTTGTGATCGTAACGACAGTAAGCTACTGTAGATACAGTACAGTGTACAGTATATATAAACACGTGGCTCGGTGCTGTAACACGTGGGCCGCGCACTGTACGAAGACGCCACGTGTGTGTGTGTAGTACGACACGTGTGTGTGTAGTACGACACGTGTGTGTGTGTACGACACGTGTGTGTGTGTGTTGACGACACGTGTGTGTGTGTGTGTACGACACGTGTGTGTGTGTGGTGGACACGTGTGTGTGTTGTACGACACGTGTGTGTGTGTGGTGTTGTACGACACGTGTGTGTGTGGTGGACACGTGTGTGTGTTGTACGACACGTGTGTGTGTGGTGTTATACGACACGTGTGCGTGTGGTGTTATACAACACACGTGTGTGTGGTACAACACGGCACATCGCCATTCAAACACAGCAAGTGCTGTTAGCGAGCAGCACCTGTGAAGGCCGGCACGGCACACGGGGGAGAGGGGGTGGCCAACACCACGCCCGGCCGCCTTTGTCTCACCAAGCACTCATGGTTTGTATACACACCGCGCCGAGGTACTCACTTGAGGCTGAGCCAACCTAGGAGAGCCCCCCCCCGAACCGGTTCAAGTGTTCGCCGTCACCGTTGTTTGTTCGCGAGCAGGAATCGAACCCCGGTTCGCTTGTCGAGTTCGGCGCTCACCGCTGCGCCACCGCTCCTCACAGAGACACGCACCGGCTGCTGCTGCTGTTGTTATTGTTGTTGTTTTGTTGTTGTTATTGTTGTTGTTAACACGTGGCGCCTCGTACACAAACAGGCGCGAGCAGTGGCGCTGTGTGCCGTGGCCCACAGACGTCGCATCCTCATCCCCATCCCACCCCCTTCGCGTGGCCCGTGGAGTTCCTCCTCCGAATAAATTATAATTTATTATCGTATCGGCACTTCCACCCCCCCCCCACCACCACCCAGACAGTCTTCGTTGTTTGCCGTGTTTGTGGAGCTGTGTGTTTGTGTGTGTTGGCTCTCTCCGCTTGACTCAAAGAGTTCATCGCTGTGTCGACGGGACAGAACCTCGCGACAACGTTTCGTTCACTCTGGGCCGTGTTTTATGAAGAGATCATTCAACAACAACAAATCCCCCGGGGCAAGTGTTGTGAGCGAGTGGTGGGTTGGCCACCAATCGCGTATGCCCTGCCGCCTTTGTCTCCCCAGTGCTGATGTATCACACACACACTGCACCAGGTAGTCTTCTCAGGCTGAGTCGACTTAGGGGTGGCCCAGGAACGGGTTCATATATACGCCGCCGTGATGGGTGGCGAGTATTCGTAATTTAAACAGCAACACGCCGTGTCGGTCACTCTCGTGGTGTGACCATACTCCACTACGCTGGTCCCGTGCGCCTTGGGGAAGGAGTTGCCCTGGGGCCGGTTTGAGATCAACACACGCGTCCCCGATGTCTTAATCACGAGCCGCGGATGACACAAATCACGTGATTATAACGATGCTTGTGCGTTTAATGTAAATGTGCCGAGGCTCGCCGTCAACGCCGACGATCGGCGTAAGCGATGAGGTTGTGTTGCGGCAATGTGATTCCGAGTCGCTTCACGAGCTCACAAACCCAGCCCCTGGCAGTCGGCATCGCACAGCGCCCTCTCCCGAGTCAACGTGGTGGTGGTGGGTTTACAGATGAACACAAGGAACAAAAAGCATGCAATGTGCATGGCTTCAGTAACGCGTTTCCAACATGCCGTTGTGCTCGGTAATATAACAAAACAAAAAATCAACAGAAATGAATGAAAATTACCTCCCGATGGCATTTGGAGCCACCGCGGCAGAAATAAAGGACAACACGTGTATTGGAGAACATAGGCAAGTATATTAAGAGGCATTTTTATTTTCATGTAACAGTGGATTGAGCGTGACGATGACGAGAGCATGGAGGGGACGCATGCTTGGAATTATACCGACACAGGAGGAGGGCCACGTGGCTGGGCAACAGACGCGGATTGCTTTGCTCGTCGGTGTCTCTCATCAGCTTGCGGCTGCGAGTGAGAGACTCGTGGTGCTGGGCTCGCAGTGCGACGTACGACGACAGCGACCGCCTTTGGCAAACGAAAAAAAGACAGCCGCATGAGCACATGACGGACCGTGTAAAAGGAAGACTTGCACAACTTGCTTTTTTTGTCATTTTCAACGAGCCCAGTTTTTATTTTATGTTTCTTGCGTTCAACCGAAGCATAAAAACCAAATCGGCGACAGGCGGCGTCGAGGTTAAAGGTCGGCGACGTGCAAGGGACCCGTCACTCGGCCGAGACGTCTTAGGAGGAGCGTGCGGGCAGGCGGGCGACAGTGGGAGACCCTTTCAAGACATCCGAAGCCACGGGTGACTTCTGTGGCGTTTCAGGAGAGACAGGGCACTCCGCGTTGTCACGCCACGTGTTAATTCTATCCCTCAAAAAAAAAATGTCATCACTCTCTTGTTTACACGACGGCAACGTAATCATGCAATTCAAAAATAAATCTTTGTTTTTATACAGCAAAAAAAGACGACCTACAAACCTCAAAATGCCACATTCATTTCATATCATACTATATTTCATGGTAGGAACTTCGCATCACCCTGTTTGGCAGGGATTATTCAAGATGACTCAAGTGTTTCTACGACAGGTGAAACGTTCATCTTCTGCTCGCCAGCTAACACACGATACAGTTTTACAAAGACGGCTGTACCCAGATGTCTATTGTCCAGCCATCGGGTAATTAAGACTGAAATAACACCCTGAATACAATTTAGAGTAATGAATCAACCTTAGAACGAAAGATTCCATAATACTTTTCCCCCGACCCCCACCGACATTTTCCGAACTGACAATTCAGAAATCGAGACCCTTTCGCGGGGTCTAAAGTGTCCAGATCGCGGCGACGACGACGACGACGAAATGTGACCAAGGTGACACGAGGCTGTGTGCCCTGCGGTGCCGTGCTCGTGTTTCTCCGGCGCTGTGGCCTCGGTGACCACGTTCCACCAATCACAACGCGCGGGGCTAAGACCACGCTCATTAACCATTAAGCCTGCCTTCGGCCGTCAAACACGGATCCCGTTTCTGCAGGTGCTGGCCACACACCTGTTCACGAGCTCAATGGCGAGTATGGGAGCGAGTGTGGACTGCTACAGGTGTGCGCGGTGGGGGTAGTGAGCTTTACTGGCCAAACACCAGGTCGACATGTCTCCATAGCATTGTACTCCAATGGCAAAACTTTCATTTTATTCAAAGAGATTAGAGCCAGAACTCATGCACACAGTGGCCCCGTGCTGATATCACGAGGTCCCAAATATCGGCTGGATAGCAAAAATAATACGGGCGTGCATTTGCCGTAGATATTCCAGCCTCATAAAAGTTCTCACACTGTACCGTTTTGGTAACCGAATTCAATGCTGACCTGTTAGTTTGTACAATAAAGCATAAATAATTTAAAACATCCAACATAACTGAGCACTGCAAACCAACACACAATTGTTTTGCCATTGGAGTAAATCCATGGCATAATGTTCACAATTTGGAAGAGCCGTCACTTGGGCAGTTTTCACCTCATCCTCTATGGGTCCTAAAGCCAACTCACCAGTAAATGGATCATGCGTCTGCCCTGTTACCCAGTGTCCAAGTTACAGCACCACAGCACATGCAAGCTTTGATACACACACAGGAAACCATTTCGTCAGAAACTAAAAAACATGTCTTCAGGTAATGCTTAATGGGATTAGTGCACTCATTATAATGCTTTTCATTTCAATTACATCAGAGCACTTATTTGCAGATTATAGCTTTCAAGCACAACAACACAAAGTTAAAGTTGGAGTTTTTAAGAATCAAACCTAAAGGGGACGATGGAAATGGACACAAATAATATAACACATATATAAAGTACACTATCAACATCACTCAAGACCCAGAATTGCATTGTTGACACAACATTGCCAACTGGTGGGATGGTTACGAATTCTCATGCACTCCCTTGCTGCAAGTGAGCTTGCCCTATGGCTGCAAATGAATGTCAATTGTGGGCGGGCAGGGGGGGAGCTTAGTTTCGATAGTGAGCCGTCGCTCTGGGACCACGTGGCATTGCCGCAAAAGCGGGGTGCAGCATGCAGCCTGCAGCTGCTCTAGGCCACAGCATCAAGAGAAGCTACAGCAATCAGGCCAGCCGGCTGGTGTGATCCGCCACCGCTGCATGAAATAAAAAAATAAAATGGTAAGTACAAAATCAAACTTTTTAAAATTATCAAGACGCCTGGTGAGATTTCAAAATGAAATACGGCGAAAGTAACTAAAATTACAGTTAAGAGTGTAGAGCATAAATATGCGCACGCAAGCGAGCGAAGACTGCTAATGGAGATTAAACGTTTTATTTTTAAAATGACGAGGAAGCGATCAAACAAATTAACTTAAATTGCCATTAAACCGTCGTCGGAATTCTGCTTGCGGGCGCGGTTTTGTGTTGGCGCGCGGGCGGCAGCAGCGACGGCGGTGGCGGCGGGCGGCTCGGGCCGCGAGGGGGCGGCTGACGGTGGCGAGGGCAAGTCCGGTAGCTGGTCGGCGACTCGAGCCCGCTCCTCCAGGAACTTGTCGAACTCTGAAACGGAGAACAACGGTCGGGTCAGAGTGTTTTGTACGAGAGCTGGGATGATTAAGCCAATTAATCGACTAAAATCAGACATTTCTTTCGTGGGTTCATTATTCAAGCCGCGTTGAAAATGACGGCCACCTCCATGTCGTGCCTCTCGAAGGCGGGAAACCCCGAACAAGTCAAACCCGGTGTCATGCAACTGATGATGCTCATGGCATCACCAAGCCCGGCCCATCACCTACCGTCCAGCAGCGCACGTGGGAACAGAGGTGAGATCTTTTTCTTTGCTATTTAACTATTTTTATGGTATCCGATGAGTCGAGCGAACGAATCGGTAACGGAAGAGTAATCGATTCCTCTCTTGCCCAGTGGTGAGCACAGGCAACCGGACAAGCAGCGTCCCGGTGTCAGGACTGGCCACGTACCTTCACTCGTGACTCCTTCTTTCTCCTCCGACTGCAAACACAAACGTCAAATTATAGCTTCCATCCTTGAGCCGGAATATACTCACGTGGCACAAACTCAAAGAAAAATACATCACACACAAGTCCGCTTGCTGATCTCCATCCTGTAACGGATTAACCCCACCTGACTGCAACACCTGTGTAACACATCATACGTCGTCCATTCGACATTAGCATCTTGGTTTTGGTGGTCCTGTTGATGTTGAATAGAAAATAACAGAATTAAATGAACATATGATCGATGCAAAAAAAATTCCCAATGTTAAATAATTTGCAAAGCGAATAACAAAAAATGGAAATGATAACAATAAAATTGTAAAAATATTTTAAAAGAAAAAAATACATTGCATAAAGTACATGAATGAGGAAATAAAAAACAAAACAAAAAAAAACATAGCTCACCACATCGGTGTTTAACCACTGTTCAATGTCGTCCATGACCCCGGGCTGGGAGATGGGAATCTGTGCCATTGAGGGATGTCGGGGTGAGGAGCGGGGGTGCGGGGGAAAGGGCAGGACTGGCATGAGTCTAGGGTCAGGGTCACACTGTTGCCAGAGCCGATGTTTTCCCCGTCAATAGAACTCGACGGAAGGTCGGGCTGGTGGCAGCATTGCCGATTTCTTAACCAATTTTCACATTCACGGGCGTGTATTTTATTTTACCCCCCCCCCCCGTGAACGTTTTCCAAATCTTACATTTCCATTTACAAAGAATGTATCGATGCGGAGAAATGGGAGCTCCCATCTGCAGGTGATCCACCGATCCACCAAGGTTGCCCGAACAGCGGCCAGGTTATCAGTTGATCAAATGGCAATCCACGTCGAGCCGCCCCTCTTGGAGGGGATGCATGAACCGGCAGCAGCCGACCTTCCGAACGGGGGAGGGCAAGACGCTGGCAACTGTGGGTTGGGGTCATTTGCGCGCCCTGCAGAAATCCACGCCGGTCTGTTCCGTGTTTGGCATGACCAATTGCTTTGACGTAATTTTGTAATGAATTCCAAGAGAATATAATGAATCCATTTCATGTAACATATCATTTTATGTATAAAGATTCTCCTCCAAACAAATGTAAAGTGAAAGAGAACTCACATTATTTATTGTAATGCTCGCGGAACTGCGTGTGGAAGCGTACGTGGATTTCTATTGGGCCCGCGACATGTCCGATTTTGCGGGAAAATCAAAATAAAGCCAAGAAAATCAAAACATCATGTAAATATTTGAACCAAATTATAAATGTGACCCATAAAAAGCCTTTGGATTAGAATCACTGAAGTGCGTTATGGTAAATAAATCAGAATAAAGCAAAGGTTAAAGCAATCAATGATGAAAAGCAATTTTCGATCAATTGTAATTTGCATGTACGTCGTATTATTAGACAAAATCCACATTTATACCACCTTCTTAGCACGCGGTGGTGACGTGCTTTCGTTCGCTGGCTGAAAAAAGACCACATGTAACCAAAGGTATTTTTAGGAGCTTGGCGACGCATCTACACGAGTGCTGCAGCATTGCAAACGATATCGACGGCGAACCTCACCATGCCTTGTCGCGCGAGCCAGGTGTCTATCTGGTCGTGTGTTTCGGGGAGCTGTGCGAACGTTGGCCGTGCCGTGTGGCACAGGCCGCGAATGAGCCGAGCGGCACGGGCAGAAGGACACACGGAGAGAAAACAAAAACCACACCCACATGCAAAAACAAACCAAAACACGTGCACATATCATGCGGCCGATAGTGCATTACGCACGACCAACAGAGGAACGCGAACCGCATACATTAAATAGTGACAAAGGGTAAACCACTTAAGGCATGCAAACAGAAATAACGTGGTGGAAAGTGAACCCCTATTTTCAATTCCAACATGCGCCCATAAAGGTGGTGGAGACTGCTCGGCTCTTACCATGGCAGCGATCGCGGGGTCTTCCTCGTGCTCGCCGTGAACCAATCTGCACGTGCACGCACACAAGTGCACGCGACAAAAACACCTCACCCTTCCCGCAAAAACCTGCAGGGCATCGTTGTAATGCAGCAGCGTTGTGGTGGATCGGGAGGACTTGTACAACACTCACGCTTGCTGGGCCGCTAGGCGGACAGGAAATGGCAACGCTGCCCAGTGGGTTGTGAACCAGCAGCGTGGACCTTTGAGTATGATCCACTAATACAAATGTGCACTCTCAAATATGAAAAACACTCCTTAATAGAATAACCCAAACATCCTAATGTAGGACTCTCATAAAACGACTCAAATAAAACATACAATGCATTATCATTCAATAATGCTGTACAGAGAAGGATATTCGTGCAATGTGGATAAATTCACCTCATGACAAAATCAAACTCTCATGCTCCCGCTCGCAGTCCCCACCTGGGTGGAGCAGTGAGCCCAATGTCTCCCTCGACCTTCAACCCAGGAGCACTGAGCCTGGGAGTTTTTCCCGCTGAGTTTCTGTGCCCCCTCTGTGCCACGGTGGGCACCACGGTGGCTAGGAGATGTTAACTACCTCGCCTGACATACAAGAGGTCGTGGGTTAGATCCTGACCCTGATGCCTGTATATTTGGAGTTTGCACGTTCTCCCTGTGGTCATGTGTATTTTTCTCCGGGACCTCTGGTTTTTCCCTCCACATTTAGAAACATGCATTTAGAGTATTTGGCTGCTATAAATATCCACGTGATAAGCCACTTCGTTGAGCTATCATTTGTGGCCAGCTCTCTTTCTATCAAAGAGCTATGCAGCTCAGTGGGTCTTACCTGCTAAAATAAAATCTAAACAATTTTAGTTTACGTGCGTGGTCACGGTTTGTGCTTTTGTACCAGGCTCGTGTTGCGTTACAACAAAAACAATGAACAAAAATGTACATTGGTCGCCACTTTGCCCAAGGGAGCCAGTGGTGGGTCACGTGCACTCACTCTCTGCGAGGGAAGCTGTCCGGCGCATTCTGCAGTGCCTGGGCCCTGCCGCTTGCGATGCGTTCCCCGCCCAGCGACGTGAGGGTGCCGCTCACGCTCTCCCCGGCCAGGCCTGCGGCAGCAGAGCAACAAATAGGCCATTAAATACTTGGTGCAGATCTGCAAGTCTGTTCCTCTTGTGCACGCAGCTTTCCACCAGGTACTCGAGAAGAGCTCTGGAGGGAAAGTGTACAGAACGTGTTACAACATCGTAGCAATGTTGTAAGTTCAGTTTACGGACAAGAAGTCTCATAATGGCGAGTAAATAAGAGTTACGATAATGGGCGTTCGTGAAGTTACGAGAAATATTACGAGTGGTCATGACCACTCCTAAGTTGATTGGAAGCAATAACAGTTAACATTACGTAATTAATAAGAAAAGTAGGAATAACAACACTAACATAATCACTATCACTAACATTGCTAATATCATGAACATTAATACCCTTAACATACTGAACTCAGCCACAGGCTGGTTTGAATGGAAAGAGTGTTGATAACGTTAACCTGAGCAGCAGCTCTGACGTGGGTGACAGCTGCCCTCTCACTACGACTCCCACATCTACTTTGACTTAGGAATTCCGTTTTCTCTGACGACAATTACGACGATCGCACTGCAATCGTAGCCTGCCGGATATACAGAGAAATCTTAAAAAGAGAAATGTCCGAACCCTAAACAGTACCAACGTGACGTCAGCTGAGCCAACGCGCCCGTCCGTGATCAGTCCCTCCCCCCGCCCCGGCGCTCCGCTCTCTCACCCATGCCGGCGAGCTGTGAGGAGAGGTTGCCGCTGCCACGAGACCCCGTCATGACGGACGGGGAGCCGGGCCCAAGGTCGATGAGGTTGTCGTCGGCAGCGTCCGGCAGCGGGGAGGCAGCGTTTCGTAAAACCTGCCGGAATAGAACGGCGACAATATGGGTCAAGGGTCAAGCTCAAGAACAGTTACTAGAAGACCGCCCTGGGTCACCTTAACTACCAAGTCTATCAAGTAAAAACAAGCACAGCAATGAAGCAAACGGAAATCAGAGCAAAGGCAACGAAACATTAATCAGGGCGCACTATACCCTGCTATCTATCAGAGGGGGTCGTTCAATAACATTACAAACAGCCGAGCACAATTTCACACCTTTCACTGGGTGCTGGTAAAATTCCCCGGCGCTTACCCAAGTTCCTAGCTGCAGCATCCTGAATGGGACTCACCGTCGAGTAGAGGGCGGCCTCCCCCGAGTCGCGCGCCACGTTCTGAGGAGCTCTGCCCGCGCGATACCTTTCGAACCTGAGCGAGAAACCTCCGCTGCATCACTGTGCGCCACTGGCGCGCACGATGCGGCAAAACACAGAGCAAAAACCCGCCGGGGAGGACAGAGGTGCAGGCCAGGTTTGAGAACCAGACAACCAAACCGTACATACAGTTTGGCTGCTTTTTGTGTTGTTTGTTGGCTACGTACAGTGCAGAAGAAGTTGAACATACATCTACCATCGACACGAGTATCTCAAGTGCCCTCCGGCTTCGTTCCGCTTCGAGAGCCTTGCACACAAGCCCCGTGTTGTTCACGTGGTTGGTTCATCGCCACTATTGCCCGCGGCTGACGTTACGATGCACAACTTTACATACGTCGGCCACATCGTCGGCTGCATTCTACACCAGCCCGTGTCGTGTTCGGTGCCATTTACCGGGACCGACATTGCACGCCACGTAACGCAATCGACCCGCCTTGGGCCGCGTCTGCGCGCTGCTCACCGATCATAGCGCAGGAACACATTGTTGAGGTCGTCGTTGACGAGGAGCAGCTCCTCCGTGATCGGTTCGCTGGCCACGCGCGAAATGAGCTCCATGACGCGGCGCTGCATGGTGCGGCACGTCCCGTTGAGCTCCTGCACGTCGCAGGGACGGGGTGGGGGCGACAGCGCGGTCTCCAGAATTGCCCACGCGCCTCCAGGCTAAGGCCTCAGCCTTCTGGTATTTATGTTGCCCGCAACCATTGCTTTTGGGCTATCTTAACATGCTTCCTAAAACAAAGCTTCGAACCACTGCCATAGGTACTAATGATAAGGGGCAAAGAAGGTATTGGAGCGATCTCCACAAATTCAGCAACCGGGTGGAAGATCTAAGAGCAGATGGTGGGATAATGTTGGAGCAGATCTATGAGTCTCTGCATGAGTATGTTCTCTGTACATCTCTATGTGAGGGTATCGAAGGCCAGATGATGGGAGCCTGTCAGGGTAGATCGTAGAGGTTGCTCTGTGTCTCCTGTGCGGGAGCTGTGGGAACTGGCGGAGGGTAGAAAGCGTTGGCAGGGTGTGGTGGTGGTATCAACTACTCTGGCCTTACACACCACTGAGGCGAGCGGCTGTTTTCCCATCTGCATGCCTCACACCGTCAGCTGCACTACTGAGCTCTGTCTACCGTACTTCTCAACTTAATTTTGGTGATCATGGGAGGAAGGGGGAATGCTGACCATCAATGCTGTCAAGCCCGTTGAAATAAACATTTACATAAGTCCCAAGGCTTCCACTTGCAATCGCTAAAGCCCAGCAAGACGCTTTCCTCGTGACCCTAACCTGTAGAAGCTCCAGGTCGGAGGAGTTCTCCTGGCCCGGCACGACCTCGTTCAGCATTTCCGACATCACCTTGATGTTCCCCTGAACAACTTCCAGCTCGGCCCGCAACTTTGAGATCTGCAAAAGAGCAGGAATGGCTACGTTATCAACAAGACAACGGACACCGTACAAATTGCCCAAGTAGATTGTCTCCATGCGACCTCCGGATGCCTCAATCTAGAGAAGCACAACACAGCGGGACTTGCGTATGTTGAACTTCTTTCGCACTGTACGTAGCCAACCATCGGAGATGCGCATCACGCAAAAATGGAAGGTGCAAATATACTGTTTTGAGCACCAGTCAGTCACAGGCGAATGCCACGAGGAAGGCCTTGAGCCTGCGCTGAACTAGGGGTAGGGAGTTAACGAGTCGAAAACGACAGCAGCAGCAGGAAAACAAACGCAAGGCAAGCAGCAGCAAGTGCCCGCGCTCTCACCTGCTCGGGTGTGGGGTGATGCTTCCGTCAGGCTGGGGCTGGGGCACGGTGGGGATGCCCACCGCCAGCGGCTCCATCGTCGCGGGGTTCGCCTGGAAGTTGTGGTTGGCGTTGGCGTAGAGGGGGCTGGGGGCGCCGGTGGGCTGGGGCCGGGTCTGCGCGGGGAGCGGGGCGTGCACCACGGGCCTCGGCGCGCCTGCCTGCGCGTTGTTGAGCTCCGTCGGCGCTTTGATGCGCACGCTCTGGAGGAAGGTTCACACACATGTGGTGGTGGCAAAAACATGAGCGGTGTTGACCCTGGGCACTTTCGCGCCCGCCGTGTGAACTCTAAGATGGATTCGGGAAGGACGATATGTAATCCCGAGCAAGTGTATTCATCTTCATCATCAGCCATGGTCAATCCACTGCTAGATGAAGACCTCCCCAAAACCACCACCGCCCTTGATGGCTCTGCGATGTAACAATCCACCCACAAGCTGCACATTAACTAATTTTTTCGCTCCATCTTCCGTTCCTTGGCTGCCACTCTGTCGGCCATCATTCCTTCGAGTGACGTGATCTGCCAGAGCCCAACTTTCTGTTTTTAAGAGTTTGGATAATGTCTTTAACCCGTGTTCTCTACTCAAGCGTGCATATCTCCATGCTTCATTGGGCACTGACTGAAGCGCCAGTGCATTTGGTTATCTCATTTATTTTTGCCTTTTCAAGTGTTAAACAACAAGGACATTTTAACAATCGTGCATGGCTTCATGTATCATTTACCAAACACTAATTTAAGCTCTGCACGTAACATTTTCATCCAGGAGATCACGCGGTGGCAATGTTATTGCAACAGGGAGGTGTGTTTGGTTACTTACGGGTTAAGCGTTACATTTTTCTCCTGGGCCTGCGGCTGCAGCAATACTTGAAAAACCGGTGCAGGTAATATTCGGGTGGTTATTTTTAAATTAAACGAGCAGCAAAAGCGTATCCCATACAATGCACGGGGGGTGGCGGGAAGAGTGACGTCAGGACGATGCACGAACCCGGCTCAAAGCGGTGCCATACAGCTGATGTCATCACGCAGATTTGCCCGCAAGCACACTTGCCAGCCCAGGCAGGAAGGCAGGCAGGCAGCAATGCAGCGAGCCACCCAGCAAAACTTTTTTTTAGGACATAGTACGATTATCAGAATAACTATTGCGTTGAAGATGCGACCTGGAGGATGGGAAAATTGTTTGAAGGGCGAGGCTGTACTTTGTGGCAACTAATGAAGCGAACGAGCATACAAAGCAAACTGCATTCGTAGTTTCCCCTCCACTCTGTCCCCCACCCCGTAATCTCACATCAAACTGCCACAGGCCAGTTTAATGCAGTGATAGACACAATGGGCCAGCTCCACGTTCGGACCCAAGCAAGTGCACACAGTGCTTGCTCTGTGTGTCACCTTGCCAAGCTGTGTACACCCTTGGGGGGAAAAGACGACATCCGTAGATGCATCTCGTTCCGCGCAGGGAATGTTGCCACTGGTGGTGCCACCTCGGCTCGACTGCCGCTGGGGCAATGGGATGGTTGGGACCGCTCATATGCGAGAGATCTCCACTGGAGTTTGTGGAAAGTTTCGCTCCCCGTTTTGGAATGCGCTTGTTGTGCCGCATCGGGTCACCCAGTACTATTGTCTATGTACAACAGCACAGAGGCAGAGCCTCAGTTTGCCGAGGTGGTTAATTGTACGATCATTGTTTCCACAGCGCTTGAAAGAAAAATTACCCAGTTGCCAGTGTGCTTAGGAGTAGGGTTGTAAAGATAGAATTACTTAATTACACATAGCAACATTCAGGACGTTGTTGGGCTGTAAGATTGATACCATGAATACCAAAAATATTAAATGATTCTTAAATTGGGTAACATCAATTTTTGGAGCTCGCGATAAATGAATCGAATCGTGTAACAACGGATGTATGTTTTTTATATCTGTATATCCCGTACATAACGGGGTTCACATTCAATGTGCAGCCACAAACAGCTGCGACTGATGGGGATTGGATCATTCCACTGACTGGGCCGTTCAACTGTCACAAGCAACTGGAAAACGCGAGAGCCGTGCGAGAGCTGTGCGCTATTGCCGAGCGCTGCAGCAGGGATAGGTGCGAGTAGCACTGCACTGTGCAGTGGTCTTAGGTGACCCAGCGGGGCGGTGTCAATGCCTAGGGGTAGTGCGTTCCCAGCTTGTTGCAAAGGTTCGCGGGTCAAAACCGGTAGGCGCCCTGGTTATTACCGCAGGTGTATTAATCATAGAAGATGCGCGGTCTCCTTCACAGGAGACGTTGAAGATCCCCTGACATCGTTCAAAATAAGTGGGCCAACCGTGTGCCAGCGTCACGGTCAAAATTTTATATATTCGAAAAAATTACCCGGACATTACTCAACTGGAATTACACATAGCAACACCAGCCTATACTGTGACACTACAAAGCACTGTGTCTGTGAAACACTGCACTTTCCTTCGTGAGGACCGCCTTGTGCTATTACGCATGACAATCAAAATACCAAACGTACTACATTATTTATGATTGTTGTTGTTTACCCTCTGAGGAGTGTGTATGGGCGACAGGGTCTCTGTGGTGCTGGAGGGGAACTCGATCCCCTTCTTCTTGAGCTCCTCGTACACGTGCACGACACCGGTGAGGTCCGGCGAGCTCCGGAACGCGTCCGCCCAAGCCTGTTCCACGTTGCACAGTTCATAAGACAAATCATGGGCACGCACAGATTCTGTAATGCTTCCCAATGTACTCCCTGGCCACGCAAGTATCGAGCAATAATAACGTTCCGTTTCAAGCCTCACAACGAGGCGATGTCACATGGCGCAAGATGCCGTCACGTAAACGCGCGATCGGGAGGGGGAGCAGAGGCACGAGCCACGGCCCAGCAAGACACAAACGCCCGGGGGCGGATCCTGATTCGGAGTTCGTTTTTTGAGTCAGATCGTGCAAGTAATAAAGTCATTTAGAGCTCAAACCCTCCACCACCCGACACAGAAAAACAAATAAAGCTGTCACGTGCAAAAATGTGCCAAGTGATATAGCCTTTCAGCAAACCGGTTACGTTGACAGTCATGACAAATTTGACAATCATAAAACGTTTCGCTGGAGATTACAATAACCATCGTCAAGTGTTGGCAAGCGCTCAGGCCTCGAATTATGATAATTAATTTTAGCGCCGGTTTTCATCTCAACGTTTTGGGAAACACTTTGATTCATGTTGCCGGTTTTCTCGCGGATCAGTCCCTAATAGCAACACAACAATTTTGGCTCATGTTGGGCCGTATTTATGAGTGTTGTTGGGTCCCCCGCGTTTCAGACAGGCAGCTTGTCTGTTTCAGACAGGCAAGCTGTCTGAAACAGACAAGCTGTCTGTCTGTCTGAAACGCTTCAAACCTCCGTTGGAAAGCACTAGATGAGGATAAAGTTCCTTCTTGTAGTCAGTGTATGGGCAACTGCCGTTGGCGAGCACCCATTAAGGCTGGCAGAGCACGTGGCAAGTCTTACACCGAGCCACCTTTGTCTACCCAATGCTTATTCGTACACAATCTCAAGACAATGTCTTGAATTAAGTCTTCAATTAATACATCGTGAATGCATTAACGATATTTACAGATAAGCTGTTCCACAAGCATTGTCTAAACCACCCAAGTTGAGTATCAAACGGTGATAAAAAGGATAATAGGTACATCGGGTCGAGAACTTTGGCGGTGTTTACATACACAATGGTCCTAGCCCTCCCTTGCGGCACATTACTTGAGGGTTTTGTGTGTAACTCGCTGTACCAATTATGCTTGCTGTGGAATGCGCAACATTTGAACCATCACACGCCCCACATTCATGTGCACAATTATCGAGTTAAAATCGCTGTATTTCTATTCACAACTGGAACCACCACATTTGAACATCGCCACCATCAAATATAAGCACAATACAAAAAACGAATAGCCCCTACATTGTAGTTACTTACCTGGGCCGTATGTACCAAGCTACCGGGTGCAAAAGAAAAAAATATTGCAGTCATATGTGGTATTATCACACTTCTTCGTACGGCTGATGTTGATGCAGATCAACAGCTGTAATTTTACACTGAGGTGGTGGAGCCAGATAATTACGTCTGGAGTAGTGGCGTGTATCCGCATGATGATGCCTCCTTCATATTTGTGAATCGGGTGTTGAGTCGTTACGTGTTCAACGGTCTGTTCTGGATGACCACAGGCGCACACCGGAGATTTTACAAATTTTACCATTTGTGCATCCAGTATCCGCATCTGCTGTTGCCATGGTTTGTGGATGATGCGACTCAGGGGTTGTGGCCCAAAAGCTTCATGCAAGATCGAAGCCAGGGACCTTCTGCATTGGGTCTTTCAAAATAGGTGTTTGCGACTTCTTGTGAACTCCATTCAGCTTTACAAGCATCATTTGGGTAATCATAGCAATATAGTGACGTCACTGCGACATCACTCCCATACACACGTACGGTGGATGTGGTGTGCCGGCCAGGCGTCTCCACCTGCCCCCACTTGCCTGTATGAGGCTGAGCACCTTGTCCTGCACCAATGCGGGAGGGTTGTTCTTGGGCTGCACCACCTTGACGAGGACTCCATCCACAAAGTCGCGCTGAGCCACCAGCGTGTGGAAGCGGTGGCCGCAGTTCTTCACGCACGTCTCCAGCACCTATGCACAAACAAGAGGACAAAGATCCCCTCTATTGGCTCAATAGACTCTTGGGGGCAAGTGCTGTTAGCAATCACCTGTGAAGGCCAGCACGGCACACGACGGGGTGGGTGGTCAGGACCACGCCCGGTCGCCTTTGTATGTATGTATGTAGAACTTCTTTCGCACCATACGTTTCCAACCGTGCTAATCGGAGGTGCAGGGGGGAAGAACAACAAACTAAACACGAAAAAGCAGTTCTTAAGAAATTAGTTTTCAATCTAGATTTAAAAGTGCATAGCTCCCATGTTTGTGCGTAGGTGTTGGCCGTGAGGACGAATCGACTCAGGTTGCCGTGCTCATAGCACAGTGCGCTACCCACTACACTACCGCACGTACACAAACAGACATACACACGAACGAGCGAGCGAGCGGGTACGTATGAGCTTTACAACTAGGGCAGAGTCCATTGGGACAAAATACACTTAAAACAAAATAAATACTTGCATGCAAAGTACAGTATATTATTATATCAGTGCTGAAACTATAAATAATGCAACCGTGTTAATAAATGTGTTTCTAGCAAATAAACACGTGTCCTTCTGCAGAATCATAATATGTACTTAGACTGGAGGAATCCATTGAGCTATGAAGCTTTTTTTCACAGATGTCCAGTAGGGGCGGGTCATAAAATTACAACAACACAAAAACCGATAGGAATGCAAATTATAGGAAAGGTAAGCAAGTCACTAAAAATAAATCAAGTACATAAGTACAAATTGCTAAAGTTGATCAATTTCTGCCAATTTTTCAACAATCAATGCAAGCTAGGGCAAGGCAGAAAAACGACAACAGTCCCAGACCATAGCAAGACAACACACAGCTCCTCAATAAAGATTCACATTAAAATGTAACTATCGGTACACGGGAAGGATAAAGTATTGCGGTGGAAATATTCCGTACCAAACTCTAACCTTATCCCCCCCGCCCAGCTGCTGGTGAATGGCCGCAGCGTTAAAGTGAACTCATCGCATGCAAAAACATAAGAATAACACGCGATTCAATGCAAAGAACCGATGCCAATGAAAGAATTGCTGCATCAGAATTCCACCTCTAAAATTCGGTAAGCATAGCATGTGCAAGAATCTGACAAAGCACAGCCATCCGCTGGTTCAATAAAAAACAAATCAAACTAAACACGAAAATAAAAAAAACACTCAACACATTTATCAGTCAAAACAAAAATAGTCAAACTGGACGACTGATGTGGACCTAACCTCATGCAAGGACATTTAGCCGTGGTAGGTGATATTCACAGTCACTGCTAGCTATGCTGATGGAGATGCAAAGCTATGCGTTATGTAAATATTGCATTTTACAGCGAGGCAGTTGGTTGAGCTTCAGCCGCATAAACTCACCGTTAGTGTCAGCATGACCTCCCGAAAATTCTTGTTTCCAGACAGTTTCTTCCTGATGGCCCTGATGGCATCTTTGGGGCTGTTCGGGGTCAATGGGTGTGGGTGGGGAGAGGTGGTGGTTGAGGGTTCAATGAGGACCATGCACAAGCAGAGCGGATGCACAACAGCTGTGATTTTCAACGACTGAGCCACACCCTGTGACCGCTGACGAACAAAAACAAGTTGGGCATTTCAATACCGATTCTACAAAGTTCAATAAAGCGGTTTCAAAGCTTGTATTTTAATAGATTGCATGTCAATCGGAGGGGTATCAAATATACTTTAAATTAACTTTGGCAGATTTGTGAGATGCGTGTGCACAATGGGATGGCCAAACAGCCGCATGCCAGCCAAGCCTGTCCCCCGAACTCCCACAGAGTGCCGGTCGTGGGGAAACCACAGCATAACACTGAATCGCCTATTAAACGCAAATAAAAGATCAACAGCCTTTTTACAGAGTTTTCAATTCGACGCCGACTTCCGAGGACCAACAGGGCTGAGCGACAATCACACGCGAGTGTTATGGGATACATTATCTGTGATCTCCATCACGATCAATCTCTCCGCGACGCTTTATTTTTTCTGCCTCAAACCCAACGTCTGTAGCCTGCCTCTCACTCGGGGGCAGGTTGGCTTGGCAGTGGGGCCTTCGTCCTCTCTGTATTGTCCCCCTAATTCCCATCTATAATTTACCAACTTCTCAGTGGCAGCACGGATTAGTTGGCGGGTTGAGAAAGGGAGGTCATCTGTGGCTGAATACATACATCCAGTGGTCAGCAGCGAGTGTACAAATTATAGTAAATGACTAAAGCACCATTTAGGTAAAATATCATTGTGAAAATCAGGAACAGAAAATTGATAACAAATTTAAGACAAAAATGGCAGTGTTAGCCAAGAGGCTAATAATTGAGAAAATATTTGCAGTGTACATTTAATGTTTTGCATCCCAGATCTCTTTTGCAAAAAATACTTTCGCCTCAAAACTATTTTGATTCATATAGCATAAAAAGAAAACCACATCTCAAAACGATATACAAGAGATTCAGACATGGACATCTTGGGAAAAGTACCAATATTTATGTCAAAACATTAAGAGGCAGTCATCGGCACGAGATAATAATAAGTGCTTGAGCCTGGAATTCACAGGGTCGGGGAACTTACATTTTAAAAAATAGGTGGAAAATATAGGTTCAGGGAGCATGGATGGCTAGGGAAGGGAGCTCAAGACTACGAGGGCTCCCACACGGTTATGATTGCATGGATGTATGTAATAAGGGAAGTGACTACGAGCGTGACATCGGTGATGTATTGAAAACACCTTACCCATCCTCGGTCTCACTAACGATGTCACAAATCTCCATGTTAAGGGTCCAGTCTTCTCCTGGCAGGGCCCCATCAGTGGCCCGCTCTGTGATTACACGAACACCAAGAGAGCACTTACAAAGTTAATTCGGTTACTGAACACAATTGATTTTCTCAGTGCAACACATGACGCACACATTTACACAATACCAAGTCTGCCACACATCGAACGTGGCCAAAGCATTTAGTTTAATTGACTTTCGATGGATTAACGTTTAATCCATGAGCCAAGGCTGATCCAGTTAATCAGTAAATGCAAAGATCAAAAAACTTGGAAACCAATTTTTTTTTTATCTCACTCACTGCAAGTGCCATCTGTTTACAAACAATGTACGGTGATGTACACAGCACAATGTGTACAATATCCTTTGCAAGGCCAACCCATTCACATTAAGAAATGGGGGACACTTGGCTTAAAATGCATTATGGCAATGGGCGGGCATAACATATGGCGTTTAGTCCGGCTGTATTCATGTGTAAATGGGGCAAGGCAGTGACAGGACAGGCAATGA